TTTACCTCATGGTGATGTTGGAATAGTGACTGATTTCTTCAAAAGACAGTATTATTTTTATCAAAATCATCAGCTAGGTGTTCTGTATCATCTACTTTAAGATATTTTCTGGCTGAGTAGACTTCATTGTAGATATAGCACCTAAACATCGTGGAGAGGCCTGGATTAAAAATCCTTGTGACCATCAAGAAAAGGATCATGGGAGGAGTTGAGAGATCCCAGCAAGATTTTTAAATTTGGGCTAAAATAACAAATATCATGGATACCTTAAAAACCACTACTATAACTATTTGTTCTCCTAGCCACCACCTACCTCCAATTCACTCTGAACAGAAAGACCCTCTCTGACCACATTCCGTTCAGCATGAATTTCTCATGCAGATATGTATGGGTGTGCATATTTGTACTAAACCAGGATTCTGAAGTATTTTGGAAATGTGTCAGGGAGGAGAGGCTCTATAAAATGTAATTTCTTTTCATTTGTGATGGATACCATCTATGGCCTTAAGAAAAATAGAATATTTACTCTAAATCGGGAATAGAATGTCTGATAAATCTCAGAGGGCTAAGCAAATCCAATGTTAATTCAAATAAATGTTTAAAAAAAGAATTTGACAATAAGATAAAAACAGATTTAGCAGTTTACTTACACTGAATGACAAATAGTATGAAATGATTAAAAGAGGTGCTATGCATTTGCTACAAGAACACTGAATAGGCCTACATCTTAGCCTAAGTCCATCCTTCATTAGCTGTCTGACTAGGATTATACTCCTAACATTCTGTGAATCTTGTAGGCCTTAGAAAATGGGGTTGTCCATGTGATATGTGAGGTTCTATCCAGCTTTGAAAATCGAGGATTCTTTACCCACAGAAAGTTTGTGTTTATGTATAAATGTCTATATACAAAATAGGTACATTCCTTTTAAATTTGATATAAAATTCCTTGCAACTACTTTATACCATATTGGGTCTTTTATCAAAAATGTCTATTTATGTCATTGTGGGTGACTCCACCTCATTAGATTTAAAAATTAATAAAACTTCATATACAGTGGCTACATTTATTTAATTCCCATACAATCTTCATTTAGGGTTCCCATCATAATAAATATGTACACAGTAGAGCTGACAGACCAGTCTGAGCACTTTTAGCATTCTGTGTAATATGAGAGGTTTGTTGCAATCCTATGAAATATTTTTGTATGTAATCAGTATAAAAAAATGTCCACATTAGTTTATGTTTAAGGAAGAATATCCTAAATTCTAAATTCATTAAAGGGGATCTTTAATGATCATTTGTATCAACTTTCCAAAAAGCATTTTTAAGATTCGCCCATGTTGTCACATATTGCAAGATTTCCTTCTTTTTTTAAGGCTGAATAATATTCCATTATATGTATATGCCACATTTTCTTTATCCATTCATCTCTTGATGGGCATTTAGGTTGCTTCCACATCTTGGCTATTGTGAACAGAGCTGCAATGAACACAGGATTGCTAATATTTCTTTGAGATCCTGATTTCAATTCTTTTGGGTAAATATCCAGAAGTAGGATTGCTGGATCATATGGTAATGATCACTTGGTAATATGCCAAGTGAAATAAGCCAGTCACAAAAGGACAAATACCACATGATTCCACTCACATGAGGTATCTAAAATACTCAAACTCACAGAAGCAAAGACTAGAACGGTGGTTGTCAGAGGCTGAGGGGAAGGGGAGATGGGGTGTTGCTAATCAACATGTACAAAATTTCAGATATGCAAAATGAATAGAGTTCTAGAGATCAAATGTACACCATGCCTATAAATAACAATAATTGTTATGTGCTTGAAAATCTGGTAAGAGGGTAGATCTCAGGTTGTCTTCCTATCAAATATATAAAGACATTTTCTTTTCAAGTAATAATGTAGCAAATAATACTGCATTTTCTGTTATTACTTTAAGATTCTTCTGAAATATTGTGTTCACAAAGTGGATTTAAAGTACTGCTCAGTGATTCTTGTGAGATATTGTAGAGATCATGGCAGAGCAAAGAGCTCCATGCTGATATTCCAACCACACCTCCTATACCACTGGATAGAACTGACTCAATCTTCACTGCCTTTTTCTATCTGTTTTTGAATAAAAATCCTTTTATTCTGGGACTTGGTAACTTCACATGGATGTAAAACTGTACCCAAGCTTTATTTATACTTAGGCCAACAAGAGGCTAGGAGGAACCTTGTCATTTTTAAATTAAGAAATTGAAGCCTTTGAATCTAACCAGAGAGAAATCCACAAGCACTTACTACACTCATCTCGTTTACTTTTTAAATATGTATTGCTGGGACAAAGTTGTGACTCTCAGTTCATTATACACAATTTTACCAAGTATAAAAATAAGCATAAAGGAGATTTCTTCCTCCAGGAAAATGCTTTACATAATTAGCCTAAATGCTAAACTATCAGCAAAGAACCTGGCCATAGCCACGAAAGATACCCAATATACTTGGAATTCCAATTGCCAACTATATTCTTCTTTCCTGTTTATCCAGTTAAGAGGATATATTTTTATAAACTTGGCAGTAAAACAGAATACCTTTTAATCAAAGCACAGTGAGCAAGTTCCTACAATGGGAAAATCAAGTGTTCAGATATTGAGACTAATTTATGCAGAGATGTCAGCTAGTCACATTGAACTGACCTTGCAAATCAGCTAACATCATGCAGTCAGAAATAGTTTCTGCAGGGAAAGCACATAATTATTGGTAATAGTACCAATAACATCCAAGAATAAGTCGCATATGCCTTTGGGTTATCCGGTCCAAATCTCAGCCTTCCACGAGTATTCCCTTTACAGGATTCTCACTGCTTTGAGATTCATTTATTGCTTTCTATCCTCAGATCTCATCTATTGTCTGTTCATTTCAGTTGTATTTATACAAGTACTTGCAATTGGTGGTCCTATCAGATCTATCTTAACTATAAATGAAGGCAACACTCTCCGATACAGAAATTTAACACAATATTGTTTTCGAACTGAGATCTATTGTATTCCTTGCATATATGTCCAACAGCATATTTCAAACAATGGAGTTTCTTTTCACTAAAGTACCCTGGACATGTAAAAAGCTGTTTGATTCTAAAGCATTGTTTTTCCATTTTAACATCTCTGAAATCAGCAAGAATCCGACATGGTATAATCGACAACATCTTTTTTCATTCTTAGTGCTACATATGATAATGGTGCATCCCACATCAATAACATCTTAGGATTCAGTAAAACATGATCCTTCCTAGGCTTTTCTTGTGGAGAAAGAAAACCTTCTTTGATAGAAAATAGCAATGCATTTAAAAACATATGTTTTAAGACTTTAGCCTGAAAAGCTGTTTAATCTCTTCTACTTCTCGACTGTGCGAGTACTGTGTGTTTAAATATGCAACACTTGATGTATCAAGTACAGTTGAAGACTCCTCTGATTTCTCTTCAAGACTTCTAACACTTTTACACATTTTTAAAAATCAATCTTGTAATCATTTTCGTATTTGTTGTGCCTCTTTTTAAATAACATAGCATCCATGCTAGCATTTCAATGTTTGACATGAGCCTCAATTCCCACTCAGAGGGAAACTAAGAAACTGATCTTTTTTCTCTTTTCATTTACATTCCGAGTTGCCCCAGAGATGGTATAACCATATAGAATATTCACAACAACCTGATTATATTTTTAGGTTTCTGGGAACGGAAAGAAGTTAGATGTTTTCAGTCAAGGGTCCTGGCACAGTCATACTGTGAATCCCATATAAAAGGACAAATGGCAAAGAAAATTTTAAAAATGGAAAGTATAGAAGAGCAAAGGGTAAACTCTACCGGCAGTATCTTATTTTACGATGCAAATAATCCCTTCTGTCAACATGAGTATTGACATATGCATAGTTTGAGAAGGGAAAGAAGTAGATTCATTTCATTTAATCTCATGATTTTCAGCCAGATGGCTGGCCAATGAAAGAAAAAGGCATTCTTAGATGCAGTATCTGACAGACCAAATCATCATTAATGAGTAAACATAGTTCGAAAACAAAATGAGGTTTAAAAGACCTAAAATATCTTTGCAAAGTGTTCATGTTTATGTGTTTTCCCCTGGATTATAACCAGTCTCTGTCTTTCCATTTAAACTACTGTTTGCTTAGTTTTTTAGGGGTGGATTTTCCCTTAGTCACTTAGGAAACAGAAATAATCACCAGAATGTATAAAGAACACTAGTGACTAAATGCTTAGAAAACTCCTCTCATAAAATATTAAAATACTGCCTCCATGTCTGTAAAGGAAACCAACCTTGAAGATTTGTTCAACTCCTCAACAAAACATTCCCCGAGAACCACCACCTCAGCCAACATCATTCTCGTCAAGATAGTTCAGCCCATAGAAATAATATTATAAGTAAAATATACGGTGAGCCATTAAATCCCAGAAAAGGTGCCACTTTAGATTCACCAGGGAAAAGAAGTTAAGCCCCACAGTAAAGCTGTCAGTTACTATCATGGCTTTGTTGCACTGAAAGAGTTCAATTCGATCACAAAGAATTTTAGCAAAAGTACTAATTTCTTTAACATATGAAAACTACCTACAGCTTCCCCGAGCTCATAAATTAGCAAAATTTTTATTTAAATAAGAGTCCCTTCCCTATATTCGCCAACTACATGCATGATGTATAGGAGTAGTACTAGCAAAGTATTTTCTCCTTCTCTTCATTTTCTCTTTCTCTTGTCTTCTTCCTTTCAAAATTACGTTGCGTTCTTATTTCAGACGTCTGCATCCTGTGGTGTCACACTTAAGAACCCAGATAATATGATGGTCATTATGGAAAGCAATCACACTCTACGTTGATGAATGACTATTTACAAAATGATTTCTATCATTTAAAGGAGAAACGGAATTGAGACTTTAAATTCCAGATAAAAAAGCTACAACTCCAATGGCACTGACTAGCTATGAGCTTCTGGAAGTCACCCACCTGGGGCAGCATGCGATTTTCTTCCTCCAGCTGTCTTACTCTCGCCTCCAGCTGCCTAACATAGGACAAGGTTGATTCTAAAATTAAAAAGAAAGAACTCACATTATACACACAGGTCTTGTTTAGTGCACTGTCAGGATATTTCTGGTTCGACTAATTCAAATCAGGTAGTGACAACGTAGTCTGTTATTAAAAAAAAAAAACAAAAAACAAAAGCCATTGAAACCACAAGCACTTTGAACAACTGCACCATGTTAAAGACAATCAGAGGAATTTACTGGGGGTGAGGTTGTAGGCTTTCCTAACACCATGCAGCCCTCAGAAGGTCAGACATCCTGAAGACACTTACTCCCTTTTCTACTTATTCTGGGCATTTTGAGCTTTCAAGGAGCTGTCCCCCACATAAGACTTTTTGTAAGGTTAATTATAACCAAAATAAATTACAAAGTCATATTAAAAATAGAAAATTAAAATATTTTCAAGATCCAGCTCCCTTAGTTTTCCCAAAAAATACTTCAAGTCTTAAATGCAACATTCATTCTTCTCCCCAATCTCCAGATAATATTATGTCTGTAATCCAGAGAACAGCTACCAAAGGGCTAAGTGGAGGGGAGGCTAAATTTTGACTTTGATTTTGGCTGAATGTGACACAGACGCAACTTTTTCCCAAATCTTTAGGTAAGCCAGGGGCTGACTTTAAAATTCATTCCTGTTTTCATTTCTTCAGGAGCTCAGGAGTGTGCTGACTGGTGACAATCACCATTACGCTGAGAGTCTGTTCCATATGAACTCTGAAGTTCTCTAAAGAAGAGTTTCACTTTGAGGAACAATCTGACAGGAACTCTTCATTAAAGCAAAAATATTCACGTGCATCACATAGCAACATAGTTGCCATTGATTCGCTGCCCAAGAACACACATACTTCAGGTACAGTAAAATGTACAGGACAATCGAATTCCTCCAGCATATTTCCATAGTTAATCTTAGAGCAGCATAGTTAATATTAAACCTCAGCGCATGTTCTTCAGCTTCAGAAACATAAAACAGCAAGAAGACCAAGATGGTAGCGCATTTAAATGGTAAATATTTGGCGCTCCTCACAATCTGAACGGATACTGATGCAAATTACTACCTTGATCTGAAATTCATCCTGGAAACTCTATAATTTTTATATGGAAATTGGTTATATGAACTCAATTCCATTTTTGTGACCTTCAAAGCAGTAAGATAGTTTTATTTTCTTAAAATACATAAGAAACTTCAGTCCTTAACTTGCAAATATAACAACTAAGCTCATCCCTGATGGGTTTACAGCCTGCCGGTTTTTTCACAAATGTTTGCATAAAGTCCCCATCACTGACGTTAATATAACCACCCACCGATTTCACACCAGTGGGCAAGACTTAGTTTTGAGCATCCCTCATACAAGACAGAAACACAAGGTAAAGAAAAGTGAAGACAGTTCCTAGAAATATGCTCTCATTTTTTTGCTCAATGAAATGTTAAGAGTTTGCTTTACGGACTCTTCCAAATGGAAAAAAAAAAAAAGGCATAAATGAATAACAAACATATTGATTTTATGAATCTGCTTTACTCTAGCAAATGAATAAGTGATTTGTAGATCATCAAAATATGAATGTAAATTGCCTGATTTACAGTTTTGCAAGCTCCACTCTCTACTCTAGAAAAACAACCACTTGATAAGGGCCATCCAAGTGAAAAGTTGCTCTGAAATGTTCTACTTACACCATGAACAAGTATAATTCTTTTCTCCTTTGTTCATAATTTATACCTTATCTTTATTGTCCCTAGACTGCACTATCCTCAAAGCCGTGATACTTAAAGCAGCTCAAATGACTCTATACAGAGTGCTTCAGGTGACATTTGAAAATGCCACTGAATGGATTTTAATTCAGTAACTATCTTCAGTCACTTTAATCTACTTCTCTTTTTAAAGTTTTTTTCAGTTTACATATTCGATAGTTTCATTAAGCGTCTATATTATGAAAGACCTAGCATGTCAGTTCAAAAAAAGAGGGTAAATTCCTGAATTTGGAAAACATGCCTTAAGTTCAATTTTTAATGTCAAGTTAAAATAGATGAAGTCCACATCTTTGTTTCCAAGCATTCACTGCAAATATAGGCTGGGACAGAAAAAGATAGGAAACATTTTTAGACTGGTAAAATAATTTTTAGAGATTAGCTTTACAAGATAAAGGCAAAGCAAAGGAGAGTTTTGAGTTCATTCATTCAACACATATTGACTGTGTCACTGGTTTGTGTCGGGCACTATTCTAGGGTTGAGATGAAGAGAAAGCCAGTTACTGCAAGACTTAGATTTCTCAGAAAACAAATTCTGCTTTAGGATTACACGCCCGTGTTCTGTGTTCCAGAAGACCCTATTGTTCCAGGCTGTCTCTGTTGCAATTATTACTTAACAGGGAACAATACCAGATGAAAAACTCCTCAGGGGATGGGGGTGGGGAGAACAGGAAGAATAGCTGATGCGCATGCATAAATAAGAGAATTCATGCTGTTAGTTCTTTTATTCATCAAGAACCTGATTATACAATTCCTTAATGCGAGTGGAGTATGCAAACATTTTTCTGGAATATCACTGGATCCTCAAGTCCCTATATAAAAAAAAAACCATTGAAGAAACTACCCAATCCCTCCCCTGTGACAGGAAAGAACAAGAAACATTTTGTTAAGCTTTTAGGACTGCGAGATTTGTTACTGCTCCATAGGCTAGCCAAGCCTGACTACTAGTACAGAGCTAATAATGGCATAGAAAATACGTAACCATTTTAAAATAAGACATAATAGGATAAAGTGTAAGAAACTCCATACTTTTATGTATTTATTTATGTTTAAAGATCTTATTTATTTGAGAGAGAGAGAGAGAGAGAGAGCAGAAGCAAGGGTGCACAGGGGGAGAGGGGAGATGCAGACTCCCCGCTGAGCAGGGAGCCCAGCGTGGGGCTCCATCCCAGGACCTGAGCTGAAGGCAGATGCTTACCCGACTGAGCCACCCAGGCACCTTGAAGCTCCATAATTTAAAAATCCACCACAATGTGTATCCCAGTCCTAGCTGAGTACTGGATAAAACACTGGAATAATTTTCTTGTAAGGAAGAAAAGGAGCCCCTTTTATGCTACAACGTATTTGGCCATGTTGGTACAACCCCTTCCCCAGGCTGCTGCTTCCCTTTTCTTCCTCATTCAAGGAACTTCCAAAGTGGTGTCAACTATAAAATAAGCGGGTTTTCCATTGCACACAGGGGATGAGGGCTGCCGGTGTGCATTAACCTAAGAGAAGTATCTGACAAACACTGGCGTTCTTAACTGAGGTACAGTTGAAGTACAATGTTGTATTGGTTTCGGGTGACTACACGGCGATTCCACAACACTCTACATTAGGCTGTGCTCATGGTGTTCTTTTTTATTAAGTGATACCCATAGACACATGTGCATGCAGCCCTGAATTAGAATGTCCTATGATTTGAACTGATCATCTCATCTTCTACCAGTGGCTGACTGCTGTTAAAACTTTGATTTCAGAATGTCATTTTGGCTTTCAGAACTCTGAGAATGAGGCTCCTGAAAAACAGCCAAACACTAGGCTATACTAGATCTACCTAGATCTACAATGTGTTCCAGAAGGACCCGATCTTTCAGAAGTATATAACCGGTTGTGGGGAGGGAAGAAGGGAAAATAAAGGAAATGGTAAGGTAATGTGAAATTCTGTGTGAAATCACGCTAAATGTGAGCCCAGAAAGATCAATACTCGTGGCAGTTCTCAGGAAAGAGAAACCTGAGCTTCATGGATCAACAGAAGTTTGACAGGCCAGAGAGATGAAAGCATAGCCACAGGATGGACAGGGACCAGAAGGCAAGAATGATCCTGGTGTAAACAGGGAAGAGGGGAAGGAGCCACACGAAGGAGGAGAAAGGGACATACTGGGGAGAAGGAGGAAAGGTCAAGCTGCTTCCCACAAGCCAGAGTATGAAAAGCCAACTTCCAAACCCAGTTATGCAGATGGCGATTTGCTTTTAACATCCCCAAAAGGTATTTTCTTTTTCCACCATGGGAAACCGAGGATATCGACCCACTAGAAACTAAGCAAGGTTAAGCAAACAATACTGATGTGAAAATCCAGTGACATCATCAAGATGTTCTCCGGGTAAATCTTGGGCGTATTTTCAAAGCAGAAACAACTTATCGCCACGTATCTTACTTTTCTTTGAACCTACATGTAAAAGTCGAAAGCACCTCTCCCAATACGACAAGTCTAAGAAACATTCAACAGTCACAAGAATTCCACTAAGTTCGTATCTTCTAAATGGTGCCAATTTTAGAACTGGGATGTACCTTAGAGGTTTCCCAGTTCAGCCTATCCTTGATCCCCTGACTCATTAGGCAGATGAGAGAATAAAACCCAGAGGGTAGTAAACTCGGCCTCTAACACTGGAGATTAAATATATTCAGAAGATTTTGTCTTATTGCTGGGACATCACAGTGACTGCCATCTTGAGTCTTTTAATTATTAAGTGATAGCAAGCTTCTTACATAAATTCCAAGTTCTCCCTTCTTCTTCCTGATTTTAGATATTCTAGATGGATCTCTACTTAAAATAACTTGAGGGATGTCCACTATCACCACTGCTATTCAACATAGTATTAGAAGTCCTAGCCACAGTAATCAGACAACAAAAAGAAATCAAAGGCGCCCAAATCGGCAAAGAGGAAGTCAAACTCTCACTCTTTGCAGATGATATGATACTTTATGTGGAAAACCCCAAAGACTCCACCCCAAAACTGCTAGAATTCATACAGGAATTCAGTAAAGTGGCAGGATATAAAATCAAGGCACAGAAATCGGTGGCATTCCCATACACCACCACGAAGACAGAAGAAAGAGAAATTAAGGAGTCAATCCCATTTACAATGGCACCCAAAACCATAAGATACCTAGGAATAAATCTAACCAAAGAGGCAAAGGATCTGTACTCAGAAAACTATAAAACACTCATGAAAGCAATTGAGGAAGACACAAAGAAATGGAAAAATGTTCCAT